AAGGAAACCCACATTATCAATTGTCTTTGCCCATGACCCCATTCCAAAACCTTTTTTTCCTGAACCATTTCTTTCAATTTCTACTACAGTTCTTTCTTTTTTGCTTCCACAGATCTCAATCGTTCTTCCTTTGCTCTACCTTCCTCCTCCATTGCTCTAAGTCTTCTAAGCAAACCAGGGACCACTTGTTTTCCTCTTGGACAAGTTTCATTATCCACCCACTCGAAAAAATGCATACCTCTTCTGCTATTCTGGCAAATCAAACCAGGTACCAATTTCATACCTCATCAAGCAATTACAAATGGAAAAGAACAACTTTTGCAACCCAAATAATAACTTACCCAATTTTTATCACAAGCATCGAACCTTCTTCCTGGGTTCAAATCTGTCCACGAAGTCCTACGAATTATCTTCGTCCCACAGGCGCAGTACTGACTCGTCCCACTTGAGGTCGCTGAAATCTCTGACGTTGAAATCTCCGACATTGCAAACCTAGGGTTGGTTCTAATTTGGGAGTTTTGGTGGATCTTGTAACAGAAATGGGAGGGAATGCATTCCTACGAATGCTTCGTCATTAGGCAAAGGGTTCTCACCTAAAAATACGGTTTTGTCCCTCAATTTCACGGAATAATAAACAGACTTTGACGGATGGACCATTTAGGTACAAATTAAAAAGTTTAAGGACGTTTGAATTGAAAATTTTAGTTGGTGGACCAAAATGATAATGGGGCAATAGTTGGGGGACCATTTAGGTCATTAACCCTAAAACATAAAAAGCCAAATTCAAATGAACTTTATGATTTGGATACACATAAATCGATCATTAGTGCAAACAAAAAGTTGTTAATCACATAAAAAGAAAAGGGGACAACTTACTTTTTATTTAATTAAAAAGGACAACTCACTTTTTTCTGCCTCTATCGACCGAAAAAGAAACGTGTCCATATACAATGTATTTTTCTTTAGGAATTTACAGTCCAATAAAGAGACATATGAAAAGAGAATTTACAAAATAAGTAAATAATGACCCACAGCATAGTTGTCTTGTACTTTTGTTTTATTTATCAATAAAAATTACTTATTTAAAAAATAAAATAAAATAAAATAATGACCCGTTGTTGGTCTAAATGATTTTTTCATGAATGATTGGGATGTAAAACCCAAGAAATTTAGGTGCTCCAAACAAATTGAGTCATCAGTTATCACAAACCAAACAAGAAAATATCCTTTGAGCAAAAGACTTGTGATATGTTGGTGAAGGGGAGGTTTCACAGACGACAATCACAGATTCATCTGCCCCACTTTCCCTGGCTTTCTCACATGCATCCGAAAATTTCTCAAATGCTGCTTCCACATATTTGAGAGCTTCTGCAACAGATATGTTCTCCACCAATTTGGTTGGATATATATCCTTTCTATGGTCCCCGTTCAAAGCCGCTGCCAATTGCACTAGTTCTTCTTGAAAATCACTTAATTTGGCCCCCTCTCTAGATGCAGTCTCTCGTAGTTTCACAGGTTCACCCAAAGTGACTGCAATTAATTAATCAACAAATCAAACACTGTATAAGATATCCATAATCCAATATTGACTTTCCGGACAATACGAAACGTTTTCTTCCTCGTTTATTCTTTGCTCTATTATACCATGCGGAGTATACTATGAAGATTATATTTATGTATTACATTGCATACGACCGCTTTAAGTGGAGCACACCCATTCAATGGCGGACCCAGGAATTTTTCAGCGGAGGTGCAATTTTAAAAAGCTAAGAGCTCAAAAAAAAAAAAACCCCAATTAAAACCCAATTATGTAAGGAATTATAGTAGCCCAATAATTAAAACCCAATTATAGAAGGAATTATAGAAGCCTTAGAAAAGCCCACGAAATGGCCCAGTAGCTTCCCTATTTTTTCCTCTTATTTTTTTAAAAAAACCCTGGTCCAAAACGACGTCGTTTTGGCCAGGTTAAATAAAATTAAAAAACAAAAAGTTGCGTCATTTAAACAGCCTGGTCCAAAACTACGTCGTTTTGGCCAGGCTTCGTTAAAAAAAAACAAGGTCGCGCTCGCTGCGCGCAGCGCTCAAGAACCAGCAGCGCATCGCAGAGTTGGTGTGCGCATTTCGTCGAACAGATTGTGTGCATCTCTGGTTTGAAGCAGAGGTGCAACACCAGCGACTGTAATGGATTTTTCCGGCGACCGGAGGTGCAGGTGCACCTCCTTGCGCCTACACAGATCCGCCACTGCACCCATACAATGAATCTCACTTTTATTGGAAAACGGGTACATAAATGTGATCTCTCTAACATTTTCATGTAATATGCATGCTACCCACCAACAATCACTCTACACATTGTAAGATGACATGCACCCGTTATATAAGCATATTATAATAATGGTTGCAACAATCAACTTATATAATGATGCAAAATGTTCCCTTGTCAAACAATGCAGCAACTTAAAATATATATGTTGTGAAATTGTGAATCTAACTCATTAATCAGGTCGATTTGTACTAGAATGTCACGTTCGTATTCAATTTGGTAGTATGAGTCAGTTGGCAAGTGACACGACAGAGATATTATTATGTACACATAGGTAAGATGGTCGGCAAGGCTCACCTGGACAATCCGTTCTTGGGCTAGTTCTGCTCAGGACACCCTCAAAGGTTCCCACCCAAGCATCACGCTTTGTCAAGAACTCTTTGAGATTGAAAATCTTCTTAACTGTTGCTGGGATTGAGGAGTGCTCGAATTCTGACGAGGGATACGGCCCTGAAGGCCCATGCAACACTGCGTTTTTAATTATTACAAAAGATTAATTCGTGCAAGTTGTTCCCACTTGTAATAATTTTAGTAACTAAGACCTATCTAATCAACAGTATAATTAGTAAATATTTTCTTTTTTGGCTAAGAAACATAATTAGTATAGATAAGTTTATTGTTTGCGTTACCTATTCCACGTTCGATCCACGGAGATATTAAGATGGTTGGAACCCGAACACCAAGACGATCAAATTTAAAGTTGTATGGCTCGGGACCAACGATATCATCCGGACTAGGAACATCCGTCACAGGTGTTGGAACATGATCATAGAAACCGCCATGCTCGTCGTATGTTATTACAAACAGCATTTCATTCCATTGGGGGCTTGCTCTTAGTGCTTCATACACTTCTTTTATAAACTTCTGGCCTTCGGAGACGTCGTGGGATGGGTGATCATCATTCGCAGGAAATGATAAGACATCAAAGAACCTTTGCCCCACAACCACATAGTTTGGTAACTTTCCCTCCTCGCAATGTTTCTTGAATTGCAGATCAAATGCATGGAAATTCTTGATGTACTTCAATTTTCTTAGGCTCCTGTCATGAGTGGTGTGTACTTCTTTTGTGAATATTAAAGTATATAAAAATGTTATCCTTTAAGCTCAACCAAAGCATTGATTAGCAAGGTTGACACCACAACTAATACGACAAGAGAAAATGTGATGTGTCATCAAATACGGTTGAATTTCCATTTGATTATTCTTAGTTATGGCTTCCAACTAATGACAAGATAAACCACTGGCTTGGAAGAAAAGAAACAAAGCCAATTTGGGTAGGAAGGAGGACAAATTTGGGATTGTGAATAGCAAATGGTCAGGCATGCTAATCAATTATGTATGGTATCCACGTGGCATGCTGGGATTAGGGATCAGAGTTGACCAATTATTTGAATAAAAACAGTAAGCAATATCCACAGGCATGACAGTATGCAATTTGGAGGTCTAACAATTCACTTCCTCTTTGATTTTTTTTTTTTTGTACGGAATTGAAAATTAGGTATTAATGGCGACTATGTACTTAGTTTCGCCAAGATAGAACAAAAACTAATCATCGAAATTTAGGTGAGTCTCTTAGCGATATGCTCTGGCGGACTCCAAAGTTCCAACCTG